GCAGACGGGTTCACTTATGCCATCAACGGGTACAAAGGACAAGTGCTTCAGGCCAGGAAAACTGTCCAGTGCCAAACGGAGGTGAGAGCTGGCCCACACCCAGAACCCTGAAGTGACTGGACTGGGACCAGAAGTCAGACTCAAACCAGGGGCCTCCAAGATCTCACAGACCTACTTCCAAAGAAACTTGTACTTTCAATCCACCTGACCAGGTTCCTGCGAGGGTAGAAAAGCAATCTTTCTTCATGTTTTGCTGGAATCAGAGAGGAGGCATTTGTTGCCATCTGCATTATGCCCCTTTCAATTGATTAACTCCCTGCACCAAGTAACCTGTGGACCAGTCCCAACTCCACTGTCCTTGTCGAACTTTCCCAAGTCTTAAACATCATCCCACTTGATAGTACTGTGTATTTTAAAAATAGAGGGCTGCAGGTAAGGGAGGGATTAAGGTCCTGAATGTTTTCCTCTGCAACCTATCACCTCACAGAGGAAGACAACCATTGCATTGAGGCCAGGTCAGGAGCTGTGACCTTACCCAACTCCATGTCATCCCAACAGGTACACAGTTTTTATCAGTGATTCAGGCTTTCACTGTTGCTAGACCTATCACAAATCAATGCCTGCTAGCTCAGCAGGGCTGCCAGGAACATCCTCTCTGTGTCCTGATAGACGAGGTCTGCCATGACACAGGACCCCAGACTGGGTGGGAGGTTCCTGAAGCCTCCTGGCTCAGTACCCACTCTGTCTTTGCAGAGCTCCCAGGAGGACATCATTGAGGTGCTGGCCCAAGGACTCGACTGCACCACCTATGAGGTCATGGTGCAGGTGCACCAGGCTGATGACACAGTCCAGTGCCTGTCAGAGGTGAGAGCTGGCCTCGAGGGTCTCCACACCCACAACCCCAAGAGGACCTGGCAGTGCCCAGACACACACTCAGATCTGTGGACTTCCCCTCCCCCCAGGACCCTCTCCGGACTCTCCCTAGACTCTCCCACAGCCCCATAACAAAGAAATCCGGACCCCCACTCCTCCCTCCAGCTACATGGGAGGGTAGAAAGACACTCCTCACATATTTGTAGAAATATGAGAGAGAAAGAGAGATGTGGTTTGACTTCACAGTAGACTCCGTCAACACGTGGGCATTTCGCTGTTGTTTAAACTACCCCTGCCACTCAGTCCACAGTCCTTGCAGAACTAGGCCAAAAGCAGATGTCCTTCCCCCAGTGATGCAGCCCTTCAGTGCTGTTGGACATGGGCCTGATTCAGTTTGGCTGCCATATCAGCAGTGCTGCCTGGAGCACTGATTGTGTTGGAATGGGCTGTGTTAGGCTGGTAGGGCTGCCTTAATATAGGACCACTCTGGGTGGTGTCAGCAGCAGACATTCGTTTTCTCACTATTCCAGAGGCTAGGAGTGACACAGGAGGCTGTCAGCAGGGCTGGCTTCTCCTTAGGGGTCTCTCCTCAGCTTGTAGATGGCCATCTTCTCCCTGTGTGTCACATGGACTCCCCTCTGCACTGCCATGTGTCCTCCCTTCCTCTTCCAAGGACACTGGTCAGACTAGATTAAGACCCACAGCACTGAGTTCACTTCACCTTAATTGCATGCTTGAAGACTAACACTCAAATGCGGACACATAATGAAGTTCTAGGGTTTGCAAATTCATGGGATTAGGGGACACAGTTCAGGCCACAGTACATGTAGTATCCACAGCTGGAGATGGACACCCACTGCTGGAGGAAGGACGTGCACATAAAAACATTTATCGGCTGCAGGTGGATTCCAAATCCAAAGGGCTGGTGCAGGGACATAGCCAAAAGCAGTTTCTGATGATTGTCCCTGCCTTGCTCCCAGCCTGGCCCGGGGATTTCTCACTCATTGAAATTTTCACCTGTCCTGTCCGATGCCAGGTTGTCCAACTCTATCACAGTGTTCCTTCATTGGCAATTGCCTCATGGGTATTTTGAGTCACCTGTCCCTTGTCAGCCACCACATAGATTTGCTCCTTCCCAAGTCCTTTGTTGAGATTACTGCCAGGTGATCACTTTTCTCCAGTCTGCAGTCTTCAAGCATTTGCCACCTTGCAGGATCTGGGATCTCCAAAATGAGGGCCTCAGAATGCCCTTTAGTGTAAAAGGATGAACATAACTTTCTCCTTTGAAGTCAATGGTTTTCATAGGCCATGTCTACCATGTACGCTGTTTCCACTATGGGGAGGGACAAGGCTCCCACACCCTTTCCACCCAAGTCAGGAACAGATAATCGTCCATTACCTGAGAGGGGATGTCATGCAGGTCAGGTCCCAGTTCTGACCTGCATGCCCTTCACCAGACTTTTGATATCCTTAAGCTTCTGTGTTCTCAGCTCTCTAAGGGGAGGTTTCTAGAGGACTCACAGGGCCCGTACTCTTCATATAGACTATTCCTACAGGAAGGTTTGCTCTTCCTTAGCTAAGAAAGAAAAAAAGGGGGAGGAGGAAGATGCCTAGAAGGTGACATTTGTATGGACATGCACAGAACTTAAGTGGCACTTTGAATACCTAGAACGTCCTTCAGCCTGGGCACTCCTGTCCACCCTCTTGAGCACATCCCTGTGGGGCTGGGACCTCCCGAATGAGCTCCAGACCTCAATCCTTGTGGGATTCTCAGTCATGCCGCTGACTCGATGTCCTTACTTGTCCCACCCAGTGCGCAGCTGAGGTAACTGGTAACCTGCCTGAGTCCTGCAGGATGCAGGACCTTCATGAAGGCATGTTGGAGCAAGTGGCCACATCCATGGTACCAGCTCTCCAGGGGGGAAACATCCCCCATGTCTCCACCCTGGCCTTCTGCAGAGCCCAACAGTTCCTGGAGGAGCTGTTAGCTAGGTGAGCACACACTCCTGACTCTGCCCGCTGCAAGCTGTGTGTCTTGAAAATGTCACCACATCTTTCTGAGTCTCAGTATGCTCCTCTGAAAGGTGGGGTGGTAGGGGGAAAACCTCATAGCACTGCTGTGGGGAAAATCCATGGCAGGTTCTACCTGCTCCCTGGGTCTTCAGACAGGGTTGCCGGATGTGTGCCCGTGGTTTGTGGCAATGATTTCAATCTGTCCCTTAGAAAGAACTCTGACTCACCCAGCAGTGGCCTGTGGCATCACAGTTTGGAAAAACATATGGAAATCAGTCTGTCAGGCAGTTGGACATTTCACCTAGATGGTCCTAGGTCTTGGTGTAGCCACTTGGGGGTTCTCGGGCAGGCAGCAGGGGCCCCAAGCTCACTCAGATGGATGAGATGGTGCTGATTGGAGTTCATTTATTCAACAATGTGTATGAAGCTCCTACCGCAGGGAAACAGGTTTGGAGACACTTAGCCCGACTTAAGGAATGAAGCAGATACAACCCCTGAACATCAGTTCTAGGCAGTGGGTCCCGCAGTCACGCTGTCCATCATTCACAGGTCCTGTCCACCAGCCATCATAGCTGATGTCATCAAGGTGCTTTTGACATCTGCAGGCACACCTCCTCATACTGATCAGGGTGACACACCGCAGGACCAAGTCATAAAGTGAGTGGTCTCTGGGTCCAGAAGGAGGCCCCCTGTGTCAGCAGAGTGGGGACTTTGAGTTGGGGAATTGCCTGGCAGAACCCTGATCTTATACACCTTCTGATTCCCATGAAAGGCTTGAACTCTGCTTCTATTCCAAAAGCGCGTGAGTCAAAGAGGACAGAGGATGGGGACCCTGGTCTTGTAGACCCAGAGAGGAGGCTGGGCTGAATTATGCCTCAGAGTCTCCTTCCCCCCAAGACCCATTGTCCTCTGCCCCTCTCTCCATCCACCTCCACTGACCACAGTGGAGGGCTCAGAACAGGATGGTGGTGAGCAGGCAGCTCAGGAGTCTGTCTCAGTCCTCAGCCCAGATGCCCAGGGACATGGAGGGCTGGGGTGGGCAATGTACAGGACCTTCAGGAGAGCTGCCAGTGGGAAGAAGAGTCTCACACAGACTCCACATTAAACCTGCTGGATCCCACACCTGCTACAAACAGAACAGCCACCTATGGGCTGGGTATGGCTTGGGGCTTTTCCCTGGATATGAAAGGGACTGCACAGAGGCTCAGTCCCAAACAAGAGTGCCATGGGAGGGTAGAGTAGAAGGAAAGACCAGAACTCTGACTTGACTGCCCACCTGCCTCTCCCCAGGGCCATGGCTTCGATGGTCGGGACCTGGCTGAACCAGGTCCAGGGTTTTGGGCAGCCCCTTCCTTTTGCCTTGTTGGAGGCAGAGCAGGCCTTGGTGCCCATCAAGTCCCCTGCATCACACCTATTGGGACAAACCCAAAATCTAGAGCTGGAGCATCTTGAGCCCACCGAGGCAACTCAGGAAGGTGAGGGGGACTGATAACCTGGGCACATAACCTGGAGAGGGCAGGCGTATGGGCTGGAGTTCCCTTAAAGGCGCTGGCATCTTTCCTGTCAGTGGAATGTCAAGGGAAAGCCAGGTGTGTGAGAAAACCTCCCTCTCTCTCTCTCTCTCTCTCTCTCTCTCTCTCTCTCTCTCTCTCTCTCTCCCTTCCTCCCTCTCTCTTCTGCTCCAGGTCCACAGCCAGAGCTTCGGAGCTCTCCAGAGCCAGAGGAAGGGCCTGCTCAGGGGCCAGAGCCTGGTCCAGCCATTCGCCCCACCCTGCCATGGCCTGGCCTGAGGCAGTACCTGAGGCCATTATGGAGCCAGCTGCTGGAAGCCTTCTCTGTTGCTGTCATGAGAGTTCTAGGCGATTATCTTTAATAACTAAGAGGAATGCACCCCAACTGTATATTTATAATAGTAAATAATGATAATGTCCAATAGTACCTAGCTATTTATGTAGACTGTAACCCATTATATTAAGAACTTTTTTGAATAAATAGAAATAAAGTTGTTGATTGAAAACATGTGTTGACCTGATATATTCATGTACATATACATAATATATATGTACATACACACACATATTCACACATACATATGTACACACATATGTTGACATGGAAGGATGTTCACTGCATCATACAGTTTTAAAATAATGTTTAAAACATTTAATTTTTTCTGGTAAGTATAAACTGATGAAATGGAGAAATGAAATCTGGAAATGTATGCATCAAAATGTGAACACGAGTGAACTGGAGGAATTGAAACTACTAGAAGTGACAGTATCTTTTCCTTTTCTTATGTATAGTTTCTGGTTTTACACTAGGATCATATATCCAATATATAAATATAGAGTAGAGAGAGGAAAGGAGAGGCAGAGAAACATCGATGAATAGTGGGTCAGCTGCCTCCTGCCCACCCCTGAAAGGAACTGACCGCAAAACCCTGCCAAGTACCCCCCTTCTGGGAACTGATCCGGAAACCTTTCAGTGCAAGGGGAGATGCCCACCCAAATGAGCCCCATCAGCCAGGGCTAGGCTAAATGTATATTTTAAAAATATACTTAGATTGATTTCAGGGAGAGCGAAGGAGAGAGAAACAAAAATGATGAGAGAGAATCATTCCTCGGCTGCCTCCTTCACGACACCCAATGATGATCCAGTCTGCAACCCAGGCATGTGCCCTGACCTGGAATCAAACCAACCGTGAACGCCTGCCTGGTTCACAGGGGGACCCTCAACCACTGTGCAACACTGGTCAGACTCAATCATATCTTTCCAAACTTTCCCGTGTGCCAATTTATATCTTCAAATGCTCTCATTAAGAGCAAAAATTACTTACTGGGCTGCATTCCACTTCACTCAGTGTTTAGCTTGAGTTGCCATTTGAGCAGCAACAACCACTAGGATAATTGTTAACAATATTTAAAACCACTGGGGATGGAAAGAGCATTGCTTTGGTTGCAACAGGAATAATTCAAAACAACTCTCTCCACTCAACACTTCGTTAAACATTTTCCTTCCCCAATGAGCCCCGAATTTTACTCAGCAGTCAAACTCCTCTTAGCAAGAGGCAATGGTTCCACCAGCTCAGGACAGTACGGAAACAGGGTACACAGCCCTGGTTCTACCGGGGGGGCCACGCTTCACTGTCACCACTGGAACAATCTGTAATTAAAATTAAAACCATTATGTCAAAAACTTCTAAGCTGAAAAGGAAAAAGGAGTAGTGGGTATTTCCAAAGGAGGCATGCTGTTCAAGAGGGATCCACGCAGTGCCGTGACCCAATCATCCAAAGCTCATCGTTCTCACGTGAATACTCTTGCTCTGAGGGGAGATATATTTCCTTTCTTCCATTTCATACTTGCTTTCCAGGGAAACCGGTTGGTCTATACACAAAGCCAACACTCCTCCTTGGGTATCCAACAAGAGAAACCTAAATGTCTAAGTGAATTTTAACGTTTACTTAATTTGAATTAATGAAAGTTTAAAATTAGAACGTTATATGGGGTAGCCATGCTGCTGTGGCTCAATGGTTGAGCGTCAAACCCTGAACCAGGAAGTCCCAGTTTCATTCCCAGTCAGGGCACATGCCTGGGTTGCTGTCTAGGGGCTATGTGATTGATCAATGAGGCTCTCTCATCATTGGTTTCACTCTCTCCCCCCACCCTCCCCTCTCTCCCTTCTGTTTCCCTTCCTCCCTCTGAAATCAATAAACAGATATATTTTTTTTAAGTTACAAATGTATAATATGGGCCCTATTAGGCAGAGTACTTCAAGACACAAGGAAACAGATTTGAAAACAGTCATTCCTGAATCTCGGGACACCTTTCCTCCACATGTCCACAAAGAAGAAATGTATGGGACCATTAGTGTTCACAGCAGAAACAGGAAGCTCACTATCACACACTTCCCAACTGCCCTGTCCCTGTCCTCTTCCTGCTCCTCCTCTTCCTCCTTGTCTTGCTAATCTTCCTCCTCCTCCTGGGCTGAGGCACCTCCTTCAGGAGCAGTTTGCTACTAAATGACCCCATGTCCCTTGCAATTTGGCCTGCACTGGCCAAGGGTTCAGGCAAGGGTCTCATAATTGATTTCTGAGACACTATTTTCCTCCCTGATAAAAAGCACAACAGCGAAGACAGAACTTTTTTCCTCTCTTGGATGCTGGGAGCTGTTGCTGCAGCCACTTTGTCACTGGCAGCTTACCCTGCTATCACTGAGCAGTTGAATTCAACATTGGATCCACCTACCCATGGATTGGTTATTTTGTGAGAAAAACACATCCCTACTGTTACTTTCATCAGTATTCTGCTGCTTATAATTCTCAGCTTCCACACTGAATGAGGTCCTTCCAACTCCTGAGGGTGAACAGGGCTGTAGCATTTCATGGTATAACAAAAAAATACCAAAAAATCAAACAAACAAAAAAACAAACATACACACAAACACACACACACACACACACACACACACACAAAACAATATGGGAGCAGAGAGGAGGTCAGAGGAAAGACCAAATATGCCTGAAAGAACACCAATCTTCCAACAACTCCAGAGGGAAACCTTGGGACTTGGGGCATGACAATGACACAGCTGGACTGGGAGAGTGTGATGCCAATGAGGATCTCAAAAGTGTGACCAGAGAAAAGGGGTGAGGGGGAGACAAGAGTGGATAGAAGATAAGGTCACATCATGGAGGGCCTGGACAGACAAACTAAGGATTTTGGACTTAATTCTAAAGGCCATAAGAAGCCCTGGTATGTTTCCATAAGGGGCATGATCGCATTTACATTTTCAAAAGATCCATTGGGCTGCCAATAGAGAATGGTTAGGGACCCAGTGATACTAGAGGTTGACAAGTCAGAGAGAACACATGGTATCAAGAGGCCCTGAGGGCAATGGGGTTAGTACTCTTGGTGCTAACCTTGATGGTTTCACACTAGAATGGTTGTATAAGGAATGTCACAGTTGAAATCTATTATGTTCATGGGACTTAACAGGTTATGTCTAGAAGTTATAATAAAGTAGCAAAAGATGCCACATCTCTTCTCAGACCAAGAGACTCTAAGAACAAAGGAGAGAACTAACCAAAACCAAGATTTACTAAAGTGGGGTGCAAAAGGATGTGAACTCAGTGTAAAGACAGAACAATAGTTCACGGACACAGACAGACACAAACAGAGTGAAAGTGAGAGAGATGCTGAGAGGAAGGAAAGGACTTAAAGAATGAGAGAGAGTATGAGAGAAGTGACAGAACCTGATATCCCATCCCCTGGGATGGACGCTATGTTGTTCAGAAGCCAGTTACTGTACTCTTGAGGAACACACAAGGATGTTCCCATCAGGAGGCTGGACTCAATGAAAGCCACTGTGAAGGCCCCTAACCCCTGGGCCCACATAAGGCACTAGCTCTGATGCTAAGTGTAAAAAGACACCACTGCGAAGTTTTAGGCCATGAGTGACAAGCTCTGAATTTCGTGTCATTTCAAACCTCTAAGGTGCAGATGTGAAAATGAGGCCAACATGAGCAGTGACTTCCCTGAGATCTCAGGCTGGACCTCAGGCCTGTTTTGTCCGGTGTCCCATGCTGTGTCCCACTCATTCTTGTCATGCTTCCACCTCTATGTTTGTTCATTAGATTTTGGGGACGCCAGCCCACAGGTGTTAGGGACCTTTTCTCATCTACACCTGATGACTTCCTATGGAAATGGTGTCTAGCATCATCCTCATTGGGCAGCTCTGCAGACTAGGGGATGCCCTGAGAGACACAGAGGCTTCCTCAGGGCACAGAACAAGTAAGGAAAAGGAGGTGTGAGCACAGCTTTCTCTGCCAAGCCAGACATTCACAGAGAGCTGTGGAGAGGGCTGTGCTGGATACTGGGTACTGATTGGTGTACAGGTGTGGAGGTAACATGGGCCCAGAGGGTGAGATGTCAACAGTCCATGGGGCCTTTGGGTTTATCTGATTGGAGGAAGGGGCACAGGTCATGGAACCTTGAAGGAGTGACCTCACTTCCTTGCTGAGAGAAATTGGAACCATGGTAACCAGATATCCACATTCTGGAGGCAACTGCCTTTGCAGCTCACTTGAGTGGAGAGGGTCAGGAGACAAGGATGTCTCTGTGTTGCTTCCCATTCTTCCGAGGCTATGGGCAGAAGAAAGCCCAGGCTGAGAGATGTTTCCCTTGGTGTAGAAACAGGCGCAAGCGCCACCACCGATACCCCTTGCCCTCTGGCAGGAGGCACCCACAGGTAACCCAGGGAAGCCCAGGCCAGGCCCATACAGGCGAGGCACCAGCTGGGCTCATACCTGGGAGCCCCACACCTCTTACCCCTCATTCCGGGGATGTGTGTGTGTGTGTGTGTGTGTGTGTGTGTGTGTGTGTATGTACACGTCCGGGATGGTGAGGGACAGCGTGGGATGACAAGCACATCCTTGGGCAGGAGCAGGTTGGTCGGTGTCAGAAGCCTGGAGGGTGTGTCATGTGAGTGCTGGGTTCGGAGATCTGCTACCTGCTTGTTAGGATGAGACGGGGTGGGGAGTATTCAAGGGGGTCATCAACTTGACTCCCTGCCTGGAGGTCTTTACAGATGCTCCTCTCTGCCTGATCTGGGGAGCAGAGCAGGTGGTGGGCATCTGCCACACTGACACTGGTCCTGTTCCTCCTGTTCTGGTAGCAGGCTCTGTCTTTGCAGAGCTCCAACAAGGATATCGTAAAGGAGCTGGCAGATGGATTCACTTATGCCATCAACGGGTACAAAGGACAAGTGCTTCAGGCCAGGAAAACTGTCCAGTGCCAAACGGAGGTGAGAGCTGGCCCACACCCAGAACCCTGAAGTGACTGGACTGGAACCAGAAGTCAGACTCAAACCAGGGGCCTCCAAGATCTCACAGACCCACTCCCAAAGAAACCTGTACCTTCAATCCACCCGACCAGGTCCCTGTGAGGGTAGAAAAGCAATCTTTCTTCATGTTTTGCTGGAATCAGAGAGGAGGCATTTGTTGCCATCTGCATTATGCCCCTTTCAATTGATTAACTCCCTGCACCAAGTAACCTGTGGACCAGTCCCAACTCCACTGTCCTTGTCGAACTTTCCCAAGTCTTAAACATCATCCCACTTGATAGTACTGTGTATTTTAAAAATAGAGGGTTGCAGGTAAGGGAGGGATTAAGGTCCTGAATGTTTTTCCTCTGCAACCTATCACCTCACAGAGGAAGACAAACCATTGCATTGAGGCCAGGTCAGGAGCCGTGACCTTACCCAACTCCATGTCATCCCAACAGGGGCACAGTTTTCATCAGTGATTCACGTTTTCACTGTTGCTAGACCTATCACAAATCAATGGCTGCTAGCTCAGCAGGGCTGCCAGGAACATCCTCCCTGTGTCCTGATAGACGAAGTCTTCTATGACACAGGACCCCAGACTGGGTGGGAGGTTCCTGATGTCTCCAGGCTCAGTACCCACTCTGTCTTTGCAGAGCTCCCAAGAGGACATCATTGAGGTGCTGGCCCAAGGACCCGACTGCACCACCTATGAGGTCATGGTGCAGGTGCACCAGGCTGATGACACAATCCAGTGCCTGTCAGAGGTGAGAGCCGGCCTCGAGGGTCTCCACACCCACAACCCCAAGAGGACCTGGCAGTGCCCAGACACACTCAGATCTGTGGACTCCCCAGGGACCCTCCCAGGACTCTCTCTAGACTCTCACACAGACCCATGACAAAGGAATCCAGACCCCCACTCCTCCCTCCAGGTACATGGGAGGGTAGAAAGACACTCCTCACATATTTGTATAAATATGAGAGAGAGATAGAGAGGGAGAGAGAGAGAGAGAGAAAGAGAGAGAGAGAGAGAGAGAGAGAGAGAGAGAGAGAGAGAGAGAGATGTGGTTTGACTTCACAGTAGACTCTATGAGCACTTGGGCATTTCTCTGATTTTATTGTTTAAACTATCCCTGCCACTCAGTCCACAGTCCTTGCAGAACTTGGCCCAATAGAAGATGTCTTTCCCCCAGTGATGCAGCCCTTCAGTGCTGTTGGATATGGGCCTGATTCAGTTCACCTGCCATATCAGCAATGTTGCCTGGAGTACTGAGTGTGTTGGAATGGGCTGTGTTAGGCTTTTCGGGCTGCCTTAATATAGGACCACTCTGGGTGGTGTCAGCAGCAGACATTCATTTTCTCGCTATTCTGAATGCTAGGCGTGAGACAGGAGGCTGTCAGTAGGCCTAAATTCTCCTGAGAGGTCCCTCCTCAGCTTGTAGATGGTCGTCTTCTCCCTGTGTGTCACAGGATTCCCCACTGCACTGCCATTTGTCCTCCTCTCCTCGTCTAAGGACACTGGTCAGACTAGATTAAGACCCTCAACACTGAATTCAGTTCATCTTAATTACATGCTTGAAGACTAAAACTCAAATGCGGACACGTAATGAAGTTCTAGGGGTTGCAAATTCATGGGATTAGGGGACATAGTTGAGACCACAGTACATGTAATTTCCTCAGCTGGAGATGGACACCCACTGCTGAGAGAAGGACGTGCACATAAAAACATTTATTGGCTGCAGGCAGATTCCAAATCCAAAGGGCTGGAGCAGGGACATAGCCAAAAGCAGTTTCTGATGATGGCTGCTGCCTTGCTCCCATCCTGGCTGGGCATTTCTCACTCATTGAAATTTTCACCTGTGTTGTCTGATGCCAGGTTGTCCAACTCTATCACAATGTTCCTTCATTGGCAATTGCCACATGGGTACTTTGAGTTACCTGTCACTTTGCAGCCACCACATAGATTTGATCCTTCTTGAGTCCTCTGCTCAGATTACTGCCTGGTGATCACCTTTCTCCAGTCTGCAGTCTTCAAGCATTTGCCACCTTGCAGGATCTGGGATCTCCATTATGAAGGCCTTAAAATGCCCTTTAGTGTAAAAGGATGAACATAACTTTCTCCTTTGAAGTCAATGGTTTTCATAGGCCATGTCTACCATGTACGCTGTTCCCACTCTGGGGAGGGACAGGGCTCCCACACCCTTTCTACCTAAGTCAGGAACAGATGAGTGTCCATTAACTGAGAGGGGATGTCATGCAGGACAGGTCCCAGTTCTGACCTGCATGCCCTTCACCAGACTTTTGATATCCCTAAGCCTCTGTGTTCTCAGCTCTATAAGGGGAAGTTTCTAGAGGACTCACAGGGCCCGTGCTCTTCATATAGACTATTCCTACAAGGAGATTCGTTGTTCCTCAGCTGAGAGGGGGGAAAAAAGATGCCTAGAAGGTGCCAATTGTAAGAACATGCACAGAACTTAAGTGGCACTTTGAAGACCTAGAGCCTCATTCAGCCTGGGCATCCCTGGCCCTCCTCTTGAACACATCCCTTGACTGGATGTCCCTCCTTGTCCCACCTAGTGCGCAGCTGAGGTAACTGGTAACCTACCTGAGTCCTGCAGGATGCAGGACCTCCATGAAGGCACCTTGGAGCAAGTGGCCACATCCATGGTACCAGCTCTCCAGGGGGGAAACGTCCCCCAGGACTCCACCCTGGCCTTCTGCAGAGCCCAACAGTTCCTGGAGGAGCTGTTAGCTAGGTGAGCACACACTCCTGACTCTGCCCGCTGCAAGCTGTGTGTCTTGAAAATGTCACCACATCTTTCTGAGTCTCAGTATGCTCCTCTGAAAGGTGGGGTGGTAAGGGGAAAACCTCATAGCACTGCTGTGGGGAAAAGGCATAGCAGGTTCTACCTGCTCCCTGGGTCTTCAGACAGGGTTGCCGGATGGGTGCCCATGGTTTGTGGCAATGATTTCAATCTGTCCCTTAGAAAGAACTCTGACTCACCCAGCAGCGGCCTGTGGCATCACAGTTTGGAAAAACATATGGAAATCAGTCTGTCAGGCAGTTGGAGATTTCACCTAGCTGGTCCTCAGCCTTGTTGTAGTAGCCACATAGGGGATCTCGGGAGGGTAGCAGGGGCCCCAAGCCCACTCACATGTGTGGGATGGTGCTGGTTGGAGTTTATTTACTCGACAATGTGTATGAAGCTCCTACTGCAGGCAAGCAGGCATGGAGACACTTAGCCCGACTCAAGGGATGAAGCAGACACAACCCCTGGGCCTCAGTCCTAGGCAGTGGGTCCCACAGTCACGCTGTCCATCATTCACAGGTCCTGTCCACCAGCCATCATAGCTGATGCCATCAAGGTGCTTTTGACATCTGCAGGCACACCTTCTCATAAGGACCAGGGAGACACACCGCAGGACCAAGTCATAAAGTGAGTGGTCTCTGGGTCCAGAAGGAGGCCCCCCTGTGTCAGCAGAGTGGGAACTGTGAGTTGGGGGAGTGCCTGGCAGAACCCTGATCTTATACATCTTTTGATTCCCAAGAAAGGCCTGATCTCTGGTGCCTACTATTCCAGGAGCACACGAGTCAAAGAAGACAGAGGATGAGGTCCCTGGTCTTGTAGACCCAGAGGGGAGGCTGGGCTAAGATGTCCCTCAGAGTCTCCTTCCCCCAAGACCCATCGTGCTCTGCCTGCCCCTCTCTCCATCCACCTCTACTGACCACAGTGGAGGGCTCAGAACAGGATGGTGGTGAGCAGGCAGCTCAGGAGTCTGTCTCAGTCCTCAGCCCAGATGCCCAGGGACATGGAGGGCTGGGGTGGGCAATGTACAGGACCTTCAGGAGAGCTGCCAGTGGGAAGAAGAGTCTCACACAGACTCTATGTTAAACCTGCTGGATCCCACACCTGCTACAAACAGAACAGCCACTAGGGGCTGGGTATGGCATGGGGCTTTTCCCTGGATAGGAAAGGGACTGCACAGAGGCTCAGTCCCAAACAAGAGTGCCATGGGAGGGTAGAGTAGAAGGAAAGACCAGAACTCTGACTTGACTGCCCACCTGCCTCTCCCCAGGGCCATGGCTTCGATGGTCGGGACCTGGCTGAACCAGGTCCAGGGTTTTGGGCAGCCCCTTCCTTTTGCCTTGTTGGAGGTAGAGCAGGCCTTGGTGCCCATCAACTCCACTGCATCACACCTGGTGGGCCACGCTCAAAATCTAGAGCTGGAGCATCTTGAGCCCACACAGGCAACTCAGGAAGGTGAGGGGGACTGATAATCTGGGCAGATAATCTGGGAGGGCAGGCTCACGGGCTGGAGTTCGCTTAAAGGCAGTGGCACCTTTCCTATCTGTGGAAAGTCATGGGAAAGCCAGGTATGTGAGTAAATCTCTCTCTCTCTCTCTCTCTCTCTCTCTCTCTCTCTCTCTCTCTCTCTCTCTCTCCTCTCTCTCTCTCTCTCTCCTGGTCCAGGTCCACACCCAAAGCTCCAGAGCTCTGCAGAGCCAGAGGAAGGGCCTGCTCAGAGGCCAGAGCCTGGTCCAGCCAGAGGCCCTGCCCTGGCTTGGCCTGGCCTGAGGCAGTACCTAAAGCCATTATGGAGCCAGCTGCTGGCAGTGATGGAAGCCTTCTCTGGTGCTGTCCTAAGAGTTCTAGGCAATTATCTTAAATAACTATATTTTTATAATAGTAAATAATGATAATGTCCAATAGTACCTAGCTATTTATGTAGACTATAATCCATTAAATTAAGTAGTCTTTTGAATAAATAGAAATAAAGTTGTTGAATAAAAACATGTGTAGACCTTATGTATTTATGTTCACATACATAATTTCACATGTGTGTTTGTGTATACACACATACATTAGTATACATATATGCTGATATGAAAGGATGCTCACTATATAATACATTTTTAAATAAGTTTTGAAACATTTAATTTTTTCTACTAATTAATTATTAACTTATTTAATTGAAAAATAAAATCTGGAAATATATACACCAAAATATTAACATTAAGATTTATGAACCTGGTGTGGAAAAGGGTGTTGACTAACTTAAAAGTAGAATAACAGGTCAGTGGCACAGATAGACAGTCAGACTCACATACAGAGGGAAAGTGAAGTAGATGCTGAGAGGAAGAAAGGGACTTCAAAAATGAGATTATGAGAGAAGTAACAGGACCTGACTTCCCATCATCTCATCTGTGCTCTGCACTATCCAGAGTCCAGTTTATGATATGGAGTCTAAACTTAAGAGAAATACAAACAGATGTCACTATACTGTTCACAAAATCTTTAACAACACATGCTTACCTCGATCAATTGAGCATACATGTTCTGTGGTTCTGAAAAGCACTGTGTGATCCCTGTAGTAATGATCTAAGTAAAACTCCCATTTTAAATCCCTAAAACAATAAGAACATATAAAATAGAAATAACAAGGAAGGTGTTACAACATTTTACCCCAATAGTTGGGATTCATCAATAGAGCTTTCCAAGTTAAAAACGTACCTGTGAGAAAGAAGATAATCAAATCTAGAATCCCTTTGTTCTATTTCTGGACTTTCCACTGTCCAATATGGTTAAGTGCAACCTGAACTCCTTTAGCTAGACACATTTTGTGGAGGTGAAATTACTGTAAATACACTGAGGTCTAGGTTCTCTTCCATTACTTATTACCCATGTGATCTTCAGCAAACCATCTCTAGAACTTCAATATTTTCTTCCACAAAATTAGGAAATACCAGTTAATTCACTGTGAAGTTTTAAAACTAAATAAGATATGTGAAATATACCAGACCCCACAATTAGGGTTGGAAATCATTTCATAATAAAATAATTTTCATGATAATAATAATTTGTTCTGAGAGAAATAAAAAATTAAAACTGCCATGTCTCAGAATTCAACTTCAGTATCTCAAGGAAGATCACAAAAATTAGAAAATGTGTTGTAATCTTAACTCAGATGTTGACATTTTTATTTCATTCAATTTTCTTTATTATCAAGGATCACAACACCCAAATGTGTGATCTTTAGAATTCAGTGCCAAACAGAGTGCTGGCAAGGCTGTAAAAGTGCAGAGTTAGAACATCTAAATGTAGATCCACTAGGAGCCTGGAAGACACAAAAAGAGACAGCACAAGTGCAGCTGCTCTTGGAAACACACTCAGACAGGTTTTCTCATCACTAAATGGGGATCATGACTCCCTGACCTTGTTGACAACTTATGTAGCTAAATTGCAATTCTCTGAACTGTAAGCACCTATAGAAGGTAGGTATTGTTACAGTACAGCAGGAATTGTTATAGAACTCCCACCTCGCCGAAACTGGTTTGGCTCAGTGGATAGAGCATCAGCCTGCGGACTGAAAGGTCCCGGGTTCGATTCCAGTCAAGGGCATGTACCTTGGTTGTGGGCACATCCCCAGTAGGTGGTGTGCAAGAGGCAGCTGATTGATGATTCTCTCTCATTGATGTTTCTAAATCTCTATCCCTCTCTCTTCCTCTCTAAAAAAATCAATAAAATGTATTTAAAAACAAACAAACTTCCACCTCAGCGCAGCCAGTCAGCTTGTCAACATGAAATGCTCTGTGGATCACCCCCAGCGTTTAACATGTTTCCTGACTTCCTGCTGATCTTAGGACAAAGATGATTCACAGACCCTTATACAACCAATATCTTCAAACAACTCTATTTTACCAAAAAAAAAAAAAAAAAATGCTCTGGTTTCTTAAGAAGGCCAATTTCTGAGTCATCTGAGCACTCCTGGAAGTTTTCACTCTACACACAGTATTTACCTTGCCAGCTGAACTAATAGGTCCACAAGTGAATGAATTCCTTCTCCCATCAGAGTATTTAATGTAGGCTCCTCAAAGACCTGGTGAAGAAGAAAAAGCATTGCAAGTATGTGAGAGATGAGAAGTGTAGAAGAATCCAGACTGAAATTCTGTGACAAGTCCTCATCCTTTATCTGAGAAACTTCTAAAGGACTCAGACATAAAGATCTGTTCAAAAGGTGAGGCTCAACCTTCTGGTGGTAGTCTGAATTCAATAAATACTCCCAATCCCAAGAAGAAGAAACAGGTATTGATTTTTAAAGCTTGCCTCCTTGTAATTAGGGGGGTGAGAGTGATCAGGGAGGGGCCGATGGGGGGAAAAGGAGACATATGTAATACTTTAAACAATAAAAAAATCAGTCAAAGCAATTCAAGTTCCACTTTCACATTAAGTGGATCTAAGAATATAGAAAACAATCACAATGCTGGCCCAGCAGGTGTGGCTCAGTGGTTGAGCATCAACCCATGAACCAAGAGGTTATGGTTCAATTCCTGACCAGAGCACATACCCAGGTTTCTGGTTTTATTCCCCGGAGAAAGTGTGCAGGAGGCAGCCAACAGGTGATTCTCTCTCATCAACAATGTTTCTATCTCTCTCCCTCTCCCTTCCTGTCCCTGAAATCAATAAAAACATTTTTTTAAAAATCACAATGCTGAAAAAATGAAAGAAATATCAAATCCTACGTGATTTCAGTGATATTCTAAATCCTCTGTTGTCATTCTCACAGTCTCCGCAGCCCCTTCTGCAGTAGATGTGTGACTCTTCCTTTAATGAATAATATAAAAATGCCTAGGCGAAACCGCCATTATTCATGGCTCCTTATTTTGAACAACAAAAAAAGAGGTATACATTAAGAATTTAAAAAATCAATAAAATTCCAAAAAGAAACTTATTGTAGGCTTTTTTAAACTTATCCTGAGATATAACAAATGCCTAAAATTAAAACAAAATGCTTATATAAGAAAATTGCAGTAAATAATAACCTATTAACAAATAGTATCTAAATAAGAATTATGGTGAGCTAGAAGGGGAAAATAAAAAAAAATAGAAGGGGACATCTATAATATTTTCAAAAGGAAATATTTTCAAAATAAATAATTACACACACACACACACACACACACACACACACAATATCCCCACCAGCTCAACACATGCAACAGGGGAACCAAAAAAGCAAGGTAAAGTAAAATTAGATAAATTAATGATAATTATAAGGAAAGATAAACTATGTGTGCAAATAAATTTTATGTTGAATAGACAAAAATTTAAAAACCTACTAGATAGAAGCCTTGCCACAAAAGTGATCTCAAACAGCGGCTCAATCTGTATCGACCCTATGTCCTGTTTAAGACTAAAGAATATCAAAAGAACTATTTCATAACCTACAGATTTAATGATCTTATAATTCTTAGACATTCCTAGACTCACTTCAGAAAAAAAATCTTTAGAGAAACTAAACTTTTCCTGTCATCTTGCAAAAATATAAACTAGGAAATGCTATTCAATTTTCACTAGCATGCCTAACAATCACTTACTTGAAATTATTTAATGGTATTTTGTGGGTTTTTCAATTGTGGTTAAATATACATGTAAAATTTACCATTTTAACCATTTGGGGTGTACAAATTCAGTAGCATTAAGTACATTCATTCATAAAGTTGTGCAACCTCATTGCTATCCATTTTCAGAATTTTTCTGTTATCCCAAACAGAAACTACCAATTCAACAATTCTCCATTTCTCTCTCCCTCAGCTTCTTTTGTACTTGCTATCTTTATGAATTTGCCTATTTGAAGAAAAGTACCCCCATGAAGGTGGAATTATGCAGTGTTTGTTATGTTGGGTATAACATCCTCAAGGTTCATCCATATTGTAGCACATCTCAGGATTTCCTTCATTTTAAAGATTAAATATTTCATTCTAGGCATATATCACACATATATCCAGTCATTTCTCCATATACACTGGGGTTGTTTCCAATTACAAACATCGTGAATAATGCTGCTATGCACACTGGTGTTCAATTGAGTTCCTACTTTCAATTATTTTGTGTATATATAATCACAAGGGGAATTGTTGAATCATATGGTGACTCTAGGTTTAACTTTCTCCCCCCTAATTTGTCTTAAAATTTATTGTTGAAAGTATTATAGGTACCCCCTTTTACCCCCTATTGATCCCCTCCACCCTGCCTAGGTTTAACTTTTTGAGAAACAGCCAAATGGTTTCCCCTCAGTGTCAGTTTTTATTTCTCCACCAGTTATCACAGGGTCCCAGTTGCAATATCCTCACTTACATTTTATGTATCAGTCATCCAAGTAGGTATAACATGGTATCTCATTGTGGTTTTGATTTGCATTTGCCTAATGATTAAACATGCTGAGCACTGTTTCATGTGCTCATTGGCCATGTGCATGTCTTTAGAGAAATGTCCATTCAAGCCCTCTGTCCAGTTATAAATGGAACTGCTCTGTGGTTGTTGAGTTAGGATGAACCGGCATTAGAGCTGCACTCCCATCTCGAAGTCCAAAATCTACACTGTACCTATTATTGACTCAGCTTCCTTTTATGAAATCCCATTCTCCCAGTCTGTAAAAGCTGGATTTTCGGGACTTCTTTAAAACGCAGCGGGATGCGGAACAAATTGTTAAAAATCGGGACTGTCCAGCCAAAAGCGTGTCTGGTCACCTTAATCTTGAACTATCTAAGCCTCCAAGAGGTATAACATAGTTATGGAGGAATTTTATTATTTAATTAATATATATTAATTATAATATTAATAACAATTAATATTAATTGATACTTGCTTTGTGAGCGGTTTTTTGCCCAGTCATTAATCTGCCAATCCATTGAATATAGTAATAGTATCAGCAACACTTGACAGAAGAGAAAACTGAGGCTTGGGAAAGTCAAAACACTTGGGTCTCCTGGCAGTAAGAGTACAATGCAAACCTAGTTCTGTCAGATTCCAAATTCGTGCTTCTAACCACAATATTATGCAATCTTCATGGGAGACAGGGTGGGTGTTATAACTCTAGTACACAGATTACTTCTTTATGATGTCATCAAAGAAGTAATGAATGGAACAGTGTGGTTTGACTTGTGGTGTTTTACAGAAGATGAAACTGAGGGAAATAGAAACAACTCTAGTGAAAGCAATAAGCTGAATGCCTGTTTCATCATCGAGGTCAAGCATGTCAGACACACAGCCCATTCGTTATGTAGCCTGTAACGAATATGTTTGCAGCCCAGACGGTGCAAGGGTATGTAAGAAACATTTTAATAAATATTCTGTAACTTAACTTTTACAATATCATGTTATACATAATTATTAATAATGAACTACAACGTTGGCTGATGACTGATTACTATAATCGTGTTGTATTCATTTCCTTCACATGCCTTACTTACTGGCGCACCATTTTTCTCCACTAATACCAGCAGCAAATATTCTAATAGCTGATGGCCTCATCATTAGTCTTGGACTGCCTTGTTTGGTGTATGAAACAGGGAATATTTCGCTTTCAGAGAACAAGAAAAATAGATTTATTTGTGTTATAGTTATTAATTTGTGCAGTTATTCAGTGTCTAGTAAGTTAATATTCAATAAAAATATTATTTTTATTAAAATGTTCTATTATTTTTTATGTTAATGATTACTCATTCATTTCAGCCCTTTGTATTTGGCATGTCACTATCATAATGAACCTACATTTCTGTGACAAATGAAGCTTTTGTGTTTCTTTGCAGTCCACATAAACTTAAAGCTTGTTTGTTTGGCCAGTGTTAGTCTTTGAGTTTGACATGCTGGATCTAGGTCCTATCTCACATTGATTCTCTCCCAATGCCTAGAAGTAGCAATGGGTGACCTAAAGAATAGCAAGTAGCTATTCAATTTGTGCTAAGCACAAAGCAGGACTCATTACATGCTTGAGTAAAGGAATCATCAATAAATTTCTTATAAGGAACATGAAATGTCTGATTTCAGTTTTTAATAAATAGTTGTTATAATATAACTAGACTTAAAGGAGATTTAACTCTTGGAAATCTTGACTTAGTTGTAAAGGAAATGAATTTCAGTTCAGCTGTCTTCATAAATAAAATAATCCAGATATGCTTGGTGTGGGGATTTGGTCGAATTCAGGACTTACCTAATACACTCACATACATCATGCAATTGTCAGGTATTCCAACATGACTTAAAATGGCACTGCTATTTTATTTATTACTCACCTTTTGTTCAAGGAGAGTAATAAAAAAGATGTTCAGTCATAATTACCTATTTAGTGAAAAATAGTTAAAGCCCATCTGGGACTGCCTAAATTCACTATCAAACCAGGGACTACTGTCTTAAGCACACATTTGTCTCTCTGGGATTGGGCTAGGAGGGTTTAGAATTTGAGAAGGAGCATGCAAATGTTTGCCCCTGCAAGTCATTTTATATCTTACCATTTCCTGTAAAGATACCTCCTGGGTTTTTCAGATGTTACTTGCTAATGAAATTATTATTGGCTACCATTATTGCCCCTCTCCCAGGGACTATACAATGTTTACTTTTCTGAATTCCCCAGGAGATGCCCCTGCCCCGCCATGGGCAGCACTGCTTGGCTGCGCCCTGATGGTAATTAGTAAGTGGTGCTGAGGAGTCTGCGCAGAGGTATGACGACAGGAAGGTTCGAAGAATCCAGAATTCACATCTGAACAAAAAGTAAAATAAGAAACCTTTGAAATTGGAACTGTGCCTTTTCTCTACCTTTCCAGCTAGTTAAGCGCTGGCCTGGAACTGGAACAGGAGCAGATGTGACCAATAAAGGTGCCACCTCCAAAACTCTGTGAGGTGCAGATGGAAAGAAATGCTAGGAATAATTAATTCACTCAGATGTAAATAAGGAAAAGTATAAATGGAAAAAATTCAAAACCTACTGGAAAATATAAATGAAGAGCCGTTGAGGATTGCATGTGTAAACCACCAAGTTCTTAAACTTGGAGGAAGCAGCAGGGAGAGGAGCCAAGTTTTGATTGATTGCTTTTGAGAATGTGAAAGTCACCAATAATCAAAAGGCTCTCTTTTTAGATAATAATTATTAAGGGAAAAGCCAAAGCCAAAGAAAGCAAAAATATGAACAAATGCAAAATAGATGAGAAAACACAACCAGAAATGTATTTAAAAACCTATATTAAGAATTCAAGAACAGATTTAGTGGATTTTCCCCCCCAAATTGGATCA